GGGGTCAGGAGAACAGTGTTATGACCGGTTTCATGTGTGACTGGAATAAACTGCTGTTATAGTCGGGTGGAGACTCGTGATGTGTTGAAATGATGTCCCACTTTCTTGGCCATCACCCAACGTTTGAGAAACATTGTCATGAAAAAGCCGTAATATAATGTTTGTAGAGCTGACAGTGAACGCACCACAAACTACATTTTACATCGACCGGATTTGTAAAAATGAGGCGTTTTTTTTTACGAAAAGTAAGAACAAAGAAATAATCTTAATGTCAAGGACGAACAGTAACGAGTTCAACATATTTTAAAACGTCCTCGATAAGAATAAAACGTACTCCAGGGTAAATTTGAATACCGCAAAAATAGCGACGGAAATTACAGCGCAGAGTACAGCTAACAATACTACAATATTTAACAGAACATTTTCACCGAATATCTGCGAACTTTACATCGGGTTATTGAGCAGATTCAATTCCAGTAACGCGACGTTACATGAAGTGTAAGTTGTTACACCAACAGGTGGCGGCAGTCAGGGGCAGAGTGGCTGCAACATCAACAGTCTCAGCAGCAGGAAGTGTGGTGCCACCGCTGCAACCGCCCCAAAGTTAATCATCACTCCCTCTGCCCACAACACCTCAGAGTGCCGCACTCTGCCCTGCCACTGCACCACTGGGGCAACAACACCGTTACAGCAGAAACAACACCGTTACAGCAGCAGCAGCAGCAGCGACATCAACAGTTTATCTGCACGCAGAAACAACACCGTTAAGTGCGCAGTGTGAGAGGTGAGGTGAGGAGGGGGAGGAAGAAGAAGAAGAAGAAGAAGAGAAACAGAGAGAAAACCCAGAGTTTAAGACTCACCGTGTAGCCGTTAGCACAGACACAGACACAGACACAGACACAGACGGTGCTCAGATACTCACCGCGACCTGTCCGTGTGTGTGTGTGTTCTGCTGCTCTGGTGCTGAGGAAGTCCTGGAAGTCAGGACCTGATCCGCCTCCTCCTCCTCCTCCTCCTCCTCCCCCCTCCCCTCCAGTGCGAGTGTTTATCCTCGCGCGTGCACGCCTGTGTGTGTGTGTGTGTGTGTGTGTGTGTAACAACCTCACCCACCGACCAGCTCCATTATTGTTGTTACTGCGGTGTTTTTACCTTGTTATAATTAAACGATCGACTTTAGAACGACATCCACAGACACGTGATCAGAGCCGAGGGTGATTGACCGTCTACTAACGTCACAATAACACCACAACCAGAGATGGGGGGAGGGGAGGGGGGGTCAGGGGGGGTGAGGGGAGCGTAGATTGATGACTAAGAGCTGCAGTTTAAGGTCTGTTGCCTTGACAACAGTGAAGATAGTGATGTGGGTGGGGGTGTTTGTGGGGGTGGGGGAGTAAAAGGAGGTGGAGGAGCAAGAGGAGCAGATGGGTGAACACGGCATGTGTGGGGGAGTCACAGCTGCTCGTTAGAGGAGGAGCCGCTAATTTGGAGCAATTAACCACGAACTGAGTTAATGAGTGTGAGGTGTTCCGGGTGGGGTCGACCCGGGGGGGGGCTGTAGATTAGATCCATACATACACATATACAAACACACATATATATATATATGTATATGTTGATATATAGTTTTTTACTCAACCTACACCTGTGCTGGCCCACTACAGCCACTAGAGGCGCCAAAAGCAGGGGAAAAAGAGAGATAATAAGATGATACGTTAATAAGTTGGTCATGACGTCATGTTGAAGAGTGGAGAGACACGTGTGACTGACAGTACGTTCTGTTACAGTATCATAAGTACAGGGTTTTAGGCAGGTGTGTACTTTTACTGCAGTACAGACCAGGTTTTCGCAGCTTCTTTCTTTCTACTTTCACAGACAGTCTGTAACCACAGAGAGGAAAAAAAGCCCTGTGTCATGGCTGTTGGACTGTGGTCTGTGAGTCTGTCACTGACAGATTCAAGAAGTGGGCTAAAAATACATCTGAACTGGGTCTCTTGAATGAGTTTGAAGTTTCCAAACTGTGTTTTTTAAAAAAACTGAATTTTCTCCACAGTCTCTGACCTGCAGGGGTCAGAGTTTACTGTTCTGGTACCAGGAGGATGTACTGAGGTGGCTGAGTTCCATTTAGCTCCTTCAGTTTCCACTGACTGTTATGAAGTGAACGCAGCCTTGGTGAATACACCAGTGACACCTGGTCCTGGTCCTGGTCCTAGTCCTGGTCCTGGTCCTAGTCCTGGTCCTGGTCCTGGTCCTGGTCCTGGTCCTGAGGCCTGTGTGCAGAGACATTCTTCTGCCACAGCTTGTTGTATTAACACTAACCCAATAGTATTAATGAGCCAAGACACTAGGATATGGGGAGGGGCTTTGGGTGAGGGAGGGGGAGCGCCGAGGGGGGGGGTCTCTAATTCAGTTTAATCTAAAGCCAAACAAAAGACAGAGACTCGTCCTCGTCGCGTCCCCGGTTTCTTTCACTGCACTTTACCGCCAGATCAAATCACGATAAATGGATCACGTCACGATCATGATGGCAGCGGTTGTCATGGTTACCAACTGGGTTTCTTACAGTCAGCATAAGGCTTGAGGTGAGATTACTGGCCCCGGTGCTGCAACTTTTATCTTTTCCCAAAAACACAAGTCACTTTTCACTGAGTCATCCAAACAAACTCCGTGGCGTCAGCAGAATCACACGGTGTCAGCGTGCACACGTAACGGCCGAAAATAGTTTCGTGCAGCCTGGTTTAAAGGTGTGACGGAAACACACAGCGTTATATCTGGTAGGGAACAATAAAAACATGTAAACGCTTTGTTTTTCATCTTTTCGTCACATTTTGGAGGAAAAGGAAGTTGTTTCATCAAAAACCTAAACCGAAAGAAAGATTCTCATTTTACGCGGTTAATTTAAATATTAAATAGATAAAATACCACAGAAACAAAAAACCAAAACAGATATAAAAATGTCATATCACTCATTAACTAAAATAATAATCGAAGCAGCATTACGTCTGCATTACTACTTTACGCCGCTTGAGGGCACTGCAGTACAGGATAATCCATTAGAGTTTTGAGCTGTAGTGAAGTTTTACAGGATTTACCGTTGAATAATATACGTACTTGTGTGTGTATTTTCTTATCTATCTGCATGCGCGTGAACGTGCGCGCGCGTGCCCTTTAACTTTGATATTTTTTATTTCTCGTGTGACTCACCGGAAGCTGACTCACCAATCTTTTTGGTGGTATGTGTGTATGTGTGTGTGTAAGCCATGCCCCTCACTAAGAAAAAAAAATGAAGAGAAATAAGATTAAATAAATAAAAAAATAATAAAACAATGCTTTTATCTTCACTCTATTTTATTTTCTAGTTTTGTTTTTTGTTTTGGTCATTACAGAGGAGAGTTCTGTTGAGGACTGTTTTATCTTCATCCATCCGGTCTGTCTGTCTTTCTGGTTTCACTCCAGTTTCCGGCCTGATCTGGATTCGAACTACGACATGAAGGTCAATCTGTCTGTGCAGAAGAATCATTTTTACTTCCAGAACTCCAAAGTTAATAAGTTAATAAAGTTAAAATCTCTTCTCTCTCTCTCTGTTTGTCGCTTATTTTCTGACAAACCCAAGTGACAGGAAGTTGGCTGGACGTCTACTTTCTCTCCCACATGGCGATGAACGCGGTGTCCCTCCGTCAGTGTGACAGGACAGATTTGTATGTGTTTTAATGAGTGACATCTCAGATTTAACACCCACCCACGGGTGCAGCATGAGGTCCCACTTTAACAACACCGATTTGTTGGTGTGTCATTCATAACGTTATTTTGAAATCAATCTTTTAGCCCCCTCTCTATTTTTGTTTGGCAAATTAACACCAAATGAAAACGTGTCATATTTGATTGACATATTTTTTAAAGAATTTTGCATCACTGTTACTAAACCGATACAGAAAAGGTGCAGTACCACGTTCTCAGCCGTAGGGGGTGCAGTGAATGAATGTATTTTAAATGGTGACTGTAGAATAATAATGTTATTTATTATTTAATATTTGATGTTTTATAATGGTATAATAATTCAAGTAGAGTGATTGACCAAATGAATAAATATATAAATAATACATATATTTACTGAAGAACTAGATAGTCCTGTCGCTCACCATTAGCCCTACAATGCTAACCTTTAAAAACCGTATATAATTCTGTCTGATCATTATTTATGTAAAAGGAACCACGTGTCTTCAGGCAGTGATGCAGGCGTGAGGCCGACCTTTGACCTTCACTTTTTCTAATCAATAGGCCTCCCGTGACCTTTACCAATCAGTGAAGCCCTTTAAAAATACCCACAAGGCACCTGTGGAGTAGTCTGACTGAGAGCAGCGTCTCCATGGCAACAACATCATTACCAGAATAGCTCTTTTCTTTCTCGCTATTTCTGTCTCTCACTCCTGCAGCCCCTCATATTCCTCTTCTCTTCCGTCTTCATTGTTTTTCTGGATCCAGTTTCTCTTCAGTTTCACATTCACCTCCTCATTTCTCCTCTTTTATCCTCCTTTCGTTTTTGTTTTTTTTTTTGCTCTTTACTTCTTTATTTCTTCTTCATTTTCCTAATATTATAACTTTGATCTAATGTTGTTCTCCTGCCCATGTTCCCTCCATCGTCCCCCTCCTCCCCTCGTATTTGCCCACTCTCAGTTTTTCACCAACCTTTTCTTCCTTCCTCCTCCTCCTCCTCTTGTCTCTCCCTTTCTACCTGTTTTGCAGTCACATTGCAGTGAGACTTGAGTTATTTAAAGCCTCAGCTGTGATTCTGTGTCTCCTCTTCCTCCAATGTGTTTTTTGTGCTGAAAATACGAGGCGACATGTTTGTCTCGCCGCAGTTATTTTGTTACTGTTTTCAATATTATTACAGGACATTTTTGAAGTGTATTTTTTTTTATTCCTGACATATAACCTGGAGACGAGTTTTGAATTTTTAATGTCAGACATATTAAGTTAGTGTGATATTTTAACAACATTTTTGCTAAATTGAATTGTATAACAGTTGGTTTCATAGTGCAGTGGTTAGCACGCCTGCCTCAGAAGCAGAGAGTCCTGGGTTCAATTCCCAGAGAATCCACATACTTGGCACCTACAGGGGGCAGGCTGTTATGGTAGATCTCGTGTTAACACAAACATTTACCAAAGATGGGATCAATGAGGTTCAAATGATTAATTATTATTATTAAAATGGATAAAGATAAACCAGAAATGAGCCCAGAAAAATTAGAATAAATTAAAAACATGCCTTGTTTTATTTTTTAAACGGTGGATAATGGTTTGTGGATGTTGCCCTGATGGTGAGAAGTGCAGCAGGATACACTGACAAAGTCTCTGCCTGGCGTTCCCCTCATCTGTACCAGGTTTATTTCCTGGTACTCAGGTTTCCTCCCTGCGTCCACACACATGCAGTCGGGGATTAGGTTGACAGGGGATTAGGTTAATTGGAGATCCATGACAGGATGAGGCGGTGGAAGATGAATAATTAAATGAATGAATGAAACATTCCAGCAGTAACAATCACAAAACACGTTTGGTGTAAAAAACAAAAACAAATGTAGAATAAAACAGTCATTCAGTATTTGTTTGAAAATAAATTGGACATAATTATTGTTTTTACAGATGACGTACTTTTCCAGCGGGGCAGTCACGGGAGCCTTTGAGGATTGTGGAAAAACCCTTGGATCAGTGAGCAATCGATTAGTCTTACTCTGCTGCTGCATAAACACTGGGCCACAGGACGTCACAGGAGCAAACACTGAACAACAGACACCGCTGCAGGAGAGGTGCTGAGTAGAAATTCAAACAGACGCTAAGATGCTAACTGTGATCAGTGGATAATAAACCTCAAATTAATCTCCTTTCTTTGTACATTGTTGTTAATGCTAATAATGTTAATGGATAGTTTGACTTGGTTTATGGTGTCAGTAATTTTCATCCATTTTCTCAGAATCTGACCCTGAAGTTTCCGGGTCTAACCTGTGAAGGTGGACGTGATTGGACGCCGTGTATGATTGGCATAGCGATTGGATCTCGTTATAATATTTTGGACTTCCACTGATTTGATGTCGATGACGTTTATTTTTACCTAGCTGCTATTGGACAACGCTGTTGTCAATCAGATGCGGTGATCAGTCTTCAATTGTTTTTTTCTTAGTTTGTACTCAGTTGTATATTCTATAAATAAAAAGTCCGGAATTGTCTGGAAAACTTAAATTAACTCATAATTTTTTCTTCTTCTTAATTCTTTACCAGGATGGCAGAGGGGCGAGATGGAACCGACCCCAGAAGTATCCAGGTAAACGGGGTAAAAGGACTCTATATGTAGAAGGCCGCGGGACAACAGCTAAACTAGCTAACATACGTGAGCGGCTATACACTGACTTAACGTAACATATTCAGTAAGTTAATAATACTTCTAAAATAGTATGAAGGATATTGATTGAGTTTTAAAAAGTTCAGTCATTAGTTTATTTGGTTCGTTTTTGAAAGTCGTGGCCCAGGCGTTCACCTGCTCCTGCCGGGTGGTAGAGTCCGCCCCGCGGCCAGTGAGTGAGTGGGTGTGTGACGGTTAGCCGTTAGTTCTCGTTCACTCAGCGGCTTCATTGTTTGTATTGAGGCACCATATGTGCAGGGAGACCCGGGGAGGTGAGTTTAAACAGGAGGGAGAGACACAGTCCCTCTACATCTGTGTGTGTGTGTGTGCCTCCCTCCCTCCCCTTATTCTCTCCTCCCTCTCTCCTCCCTCTCCTCTGCCATGTCTGTCCGCCTCCATTGGTTTCCATTGGGTCTATTTTTAGCACCAGCAGACTGGTCACGTGGCAGGAGGAGGAGGAGGAGGAGGGCGTCAATAATGTTGTTGTTGGTGGTGGGAGAGAGAGAGAGAGAGAGAGAGAGAGAGTGTGTGTGTGAGTGGAGGAGAGGCAGACTGTAAATATGGAGGAGGAGAAACGTTAGGAGGTGAGAGCCGTTTTCTTCCCCGCAACGACTAACGTTCCGTGGTTGTTTTTTCCGGGTAAAATTGAAGAGTGCACCGGGAGCTTTGGCGGGACACACACCCCGAGGCTCGGAGGAAAAGGGACGCCGGGAGGAAGCGACCTCTGTGCGGAAAACGCGTTCCAGGAGGAACCGCGGACATCCACGGTGTCGTGAGGTTTGTGGGGAACACACACACACACACACACACAGACACACACACAGAACAGATCGAAAGAATGCGTGTGTGCGTGTTCGTCCAGAAAGGATCTATACCTTGACAGGAAGTTGAAGCGTTCTTGGAGAACGGTGGAACAGGGAGAGGCATTTTTTTTATGCTAGCTAAGCATTTACTTCCACATTGAACTCCACTTTCAAGTTACCTCTGCTGCTGTGACTCCTCATACAACATACTGTACTATCTTAGCATTACAGTATATGTTAATGCCATTTTATAAGTAAATCAGTATCTGATATTACACAACAAGTCGGTAACAAGTCGGTGACCAGCTGTCTGTAGACTGACCACCGGTCAGTGCTGACCAGGAAAACTTTAAATTAAACAACAACTGAAATATGAAGGGTATGAATCTTTGGCTACCTCACTATTTGATTATGACTATGAGGCCAACGATTACGACACCATTATGCTAATACATAATTAAAAATAAATCAGTACAAATGTCTAATTAGTACATTCCAAAGCCAATATTGAATGGTCATTAATTAAAGTGTACTGAAGCAGTGTTAGACGAAAAACACACCTCTGACATTGAGCTTTGTTTTTTTTTCTTAATGTTTGTTTTTTTCCGCCAAACGTCTGCTTTGGAGCAGGGGGCGCTGGTGCTAATGTTTTGTGTTCTTGAGCGTTGGCTCCAGTTCAGCTGTGTTTACTGAACCTCTCCGGTGAGGTGCTTCGGTTACACCTGTGTGGTTTCATTAGTCGGTCCGGTCTACGTGACGCAGTACTGCCTGTTGTCCACCGAGGACATCTCACCACCTGATTGGTTCAACCGGGCCTGTTGTTGGCATAACGATCAACAAAGTTTGATTTGAAAAGATAAAAAATGATGGATTATGCATGATAAAATCTTGATACACTCATAAAACTCTAACGTCTCCCACCCTGTGACCATCGATGTCTTCTCCCAAACTATTTGTGAAATGAAGTCACGGAAACATTTAGAACATACTTGTTTTTATGGAGGTTAGTCATAAGTCCTCACATACCCCAACATCCTGGTCTTTATGTCAACCATAGCGGCATTTGCCTTATGGGTAAGAGGTTTTTGGCAGACTGTGAATTAAATCAAACTTATAAAAGTGGTTTCAGACATTGGTCTTGTTGTTTGATGGACATAAAGACATGGTTTTCTCTTTGATACAGTCTTCCTCTGAAACATTTCTGATGTCACTGTGACACATTCTTATTGGCTGTTCTTTAAACTACGGAGAAAAATTCATCTGTAGTCGAAGGTCAGAAATTGGAATATTGTTAGTCATCTTCCTCAGAACTGTCAACACTTGAAGCGTGCAGAAAATGGCAACGAAACTGAGCGAGGGTGTGTATACGCTGTCACCGACACAGAGTGTCGTCCTAGAGGAGCGACCAGACAGCTGGGGACAAGGTCGGCCCAATGTTTAAACATCACAGCACTAGTGACATCAGGGGACACTTCTGAGGGAGACAGAAGTTCGCCGTCCAAATCTCATCAGGGTAAAAACCTGGCCTAAATATCCGACTTAAAAAAAAAGTACAAAAACAAAATGAAGCCGGTAGAAACAAGTGCAACTGAAAACATTCCAGCTGCAGCGTGCAGTATTCAAACATAACAATACCAGGCTTCTGTTGATAAACATCAAACAATACACACAATAAGAGCCATAGCAACACGCCTTCAAGTGATAGTCCAGTAGGTTTGTTTTTTTTTGTGTGTACATGTGCACACAAAAGAAGACATCGCCGTATCACAGCTTTTAATAAACAAGAACCGCAGCAGTCGAGACATCGCCGTATCACAGCTTTTAATAGACAAGAACCGCAGCAGTCGACCAGCAGCTACCATACTGCTTTAAACTGGAACTATTGGTTTTTATTAATTATTTTAGTCTGGAAGAAGCTGATCAAAAATATACGGGTGTTCAAAGATGAACCTCTGGTACCTGGACTTTTGGAAGGACCTGCTATGACCAGCAGAGGCTGCGATGGTACGTTGGTCTTCGTTGGTCTGTGGCCTCAGTCTTTTTTTGTAAGAATGGGATTTGCAATTGATTTGCAGTTTTTTTTAAATGGGAAAAAGTTTTTTAAGGGTAATATTTATTAGAAACATGTTCGCTGTTGTAAAAGCTATTATTAGAGTTATTTCAGCTCAGGTTATTTAGGGGTTTGTTGCATATTTGTCTTCGAAGGTTGTCTTGTGTCCTTGTGTCTTAAGTTTGTCGTTTGCCCCTCTCTCTCTCCCTCACACCCCCCATGGTCAGCTCTCTGTGACCAGTGGACAGTAGGCTGCAGCTGTGTGTACTCTCTGAACCACTCTGGACTCAGATGCTCTTTGATTTGAGTAAAAGAAGACAGTAATGTCATGTTGTTGTGGTGGGTTAGGTCTTGTAGCGTGTCTACCGTGTTCATGTTCTGTTATGTTGGTCTTGTTGTCATCTAACAGGAGCATCACTTGGCTCCATCCTTCACTCACTCTGCTTAAATCAATGCTGCATTTGTAAACCTGCATATGCAAAAAAAAAAAAAGGTTTTTTGTGCTCCAAATCACTCTCCACCAGCAGAGAGAGAGCACATTGACTTGAATTCAAACTTTCCAGCCAGGTTGCTAATTCTGACAATCCTGTCCCCGACGTTCTGCAGAGACGGTGAGAGGAGCTGCTTTTTCTCCACATCATTATCAGAGTTCTCAGCTTGAACTATTTTATCGCAGCCTCTCACATCATGACATCACAGTTATGTAACACAGTCGCCTAAAATAATGCACACATTCGCTGCACCTATTCTCCGCATCCAACTGCATTTCCGTCGCAGCGTCGGCCGGTCTGTGACATGAGGCTGATTTTCTGGATTAGAATGTGGCGCCGTAACTGCGCAAGTAAGTGAGGGAACTTTGATAAACTAGTACTGTTACTGAGATGGTCCAGATATGAGGGTGTATAATATATATATATATGTGTTGAAACATATACATACATATATATTTATAGTTATACTGGAACAGAAATAAAAATATGGCTGGAGTGACACGTGCCGTGAAGTTGGAGCCTCTGTAAACACATGCTGGAGTTGAGATGGTATTGTACGATCCAGGTGCTTCAGTGAAAACTTTTTCTCACAGTGTGTATAAATAACATGTGTATTAGAGCAACGATAAGATAAGAATGAGTGGAATATTTCAATCTGATTAATTCCACTAATTAAGTAACGCATGACCTTTGACAGTAGAAAAAGTATTTAATAAATATGACCTTTGCCCTGAGTTTTGCATCCAATTAGAATCCAACGCTGAGGTCACTGGGTTTGTAACTACATGCCCGAATCAAAGTGGAAATTTTGGTGCAGTTTCTCCCCAGTTGTTGCGTGTCAGTTTGTGATCCTCTGTGATCGTGTTGTGCAAAAGTTGCCATAACATGATTATGATCAACAGGCAACAGCGCGGCCCGCCGTATAACAAAAGACATCGAGAAAGTCTCGGTTTCCCATGAATTATGGGAAACGGGATTCACTCAGCTGTAATGAGCCAGGAGGACACACCTCATGACTGTTAGAGTAATCATAACTATTATAGTTTGGGTGTGCGTTGGACGGGGTATTAGCCTGTGTGAGTCAACCACTGTTAACATAATGATAACTCTGGGTTCCAGGTGGAGTCTGTTGTGCTCCAAACGCTTTGTGTTCGTCGCGCTGCACAACAAGTGTGAGCTGCTGATGCCTGTGTCGTCGACGTTGTTGTTGTTGATCTCAGGCCTCCTGGTGCTGCTCGTGGACTCCCGGAGACCTCCAGGTCTCACGTGGTCTCACACAGTCGTCCATTGTCTTCGCTCGTCGTCCACGGTCGTCAGAGGCCGAAACGTCGTCATGTTGTTGGAGACGGGACTTGTGAAGTCAGTGTGTTTTTTTTGTCTAATGTTAGATGTCGTCACACATTTCCACAGAAATTTGCTACAGTATATTTAAAAAAATCTGGCAACATGTGAGCGCAGTAGAGATGTTTGAGTGTGGGAGACACTCACACGATCAATCATTCACAGTTATTGTTACCCCTTCTTTAAAACTCTGCAGTTAATCACAGCAAACCAGTCTGTCGAGTTGATGTCATCGCTCTCGCTGCACTCGTTCGTCTTCACCGAGTTTTCGGCTCTCTTCTCACTGTAGTCCTGCATTTCTGAACCGCAGATCAGGCCTTGAGATTGACAGGGAACAAGTTACCCCTGTGAGGCAAAGCACAGTTCAGAATGTAAGAAAATTAGATTAAAGTCCACGTCCTGTCTGTTAACGACTCCTGAAGTCTCCTATTTTTCCGTGTGAGTCTAACGTTGAAGTCCAGGCTTCAGTGTTTATAATGGAGCTGTTGTTGTTGTTGTTGTTGTTGTTTTTTTTTTTCCTTGTTCCTGCATCACTAACAGCAGATGCTGCTCTGAATCCGTCAGTGGATTTCTGCTGTTTGCTGCACTGTGCTGCTCAGACTTCAGTGAAGAATGGACTTTTTTTTGCTGTGTACTGTCTACCTTTGAATGAGACTAATTTGAAGTACCTCACCCTGCAGTGGCCTCTAAATCACAAAAACCTGTCGTAAACAAGGACGTCCGGGCTCAAAGGTTTGAATCCCTGACTGAGTCCGGCAGCGGCGTTTTGAGCGAGCTCCAAATTCCATTAATACCAGCGATCGGCTGAATTCAGAGGAATTTTTATCGTGTGTCTAAATGTGTCTGACTGTAACAGTATCATTTTGTATCATTACAGTAATACCACACGGTGAAGTGGTTAAAGGTTTTTTCCTCTTTTGGTGACATCATGTGTTTCGACTGTGTGTTAGTGGATGGACAGTAGAATTGTTAACTTTAACAGCCATACTTTTCATTTTCATGACTGTTAACACACATTCTCTGTGTCGATTGTTGTCGACCAGATTATATGGACTCTGCCGTTGAAGTTCTGAACCCCTCAGGACACACCTCCTCCGCTCTCATCTTTGAATCGGGGGCAGTTGTTTGCTCCGCATGTCTGTAATCAGACTGACTTTGTCTGGTGACAAAGCCGGCTATTGTTTGTCACAACGACTGTGTCTGGGCTTGTAGCTTCTTCTCCCGGGTGTTTCACACTCAGACAGTCGACCACGGCCGATGAGAACTTGTGTCATGACAACTTGTTCCAGAGCTAATTTTGCACTTCCTGTCCTGACGTGATATAAGATAAAACTGAGCGTGCACCTGAAGAGACTGCAGATATGAGACAGTACATGAGAGATACAGCCCCTGGTGGACTATTTGTGAATCAACATATATTTATTATATTTTATATTTAGTTGATTATTTTTTAGTCTTATCATGTAGATGTGTAGATGGTTGTTTGTGTCTGTATATGAACCTGTGATGGACAAGCAACCAGGATGTAGCCCTGCCTTACCAAGCTGCTGCTGGGATCGACTGGATGGATGGATGAATGGATGGATGGATGAATGGATGGATGGAAACTCTTAAATGTTCAAATGTAGATTTGAGGATCAAAGGTTGGTTCCATCCCCTGGTCCTGGGACAGACTTGTGACCTGCTGCAGTTCACACTGTGACCACAAACTGTACAAAGTGGTGAAAGAAACTTGAATTTATGAATGAATGGACCTGACGTGTAACATGAATCACAACTGATTGTTTAAAAGTCTGTGCAAATATGTGTTTGTGTTGCCTCGACTGCACAGTGTGTGTGTGTGTGTGTGTGTGTGAAGTAAATAAAAGGGCAACAGGAAGAGACTATATAAACAGGTAGACTAAGCGGCTGATGGTGACTGCCGCTCCACATCCCTCTTCTGTTTGTTTAGGGAAGAGGTGCTCAGGTGAGGCGTTACCATGGCAGCCAGTTCCCCGGTTGCCAGGCAGCACTTCCTGCTCCTCTCCTGAGATTTTGGTTTTTTTTTTGTTTTGTTGGTGATTTGGCAACAACAACAAAAAAGAAAGCGTTTGTTATCCGCAAAAAAAAAAATGAAAACGGAATTTGAAGTTCCTTTTCGGAAGAGACGGAACATGACAAGGTCACAAATACACAGGTTAGAAAGTGTAAAAATATCACACATAAAACACATACACTAGTCTGCTTTTATTATTTGTTTCATTTATTTTTTTAAGGACTGACTCTTTGCTGCAGGAGGTGCAAACCTAAAACTATTTTCCCCTAATTTAAGATGCACTCTGGGGACAAAGAACAATAATACGGCCTTGGACTGAGTCACAGAACAAGCTACCGTTTCCAAAAATATTAAAAATTATTTCAATTATAATTCATTTAATTATAATTAATTTATATAATTACATCAATGTGGGCTTGTGAAAAGTTAATTGATAAAATAACAATATAATAATAATTATTATGATTATAACATTGAGATATCTCTCTCTGACTTTACCAGCATAGACCAGTAGGGGGAAGCAGAGGCCCGGACTGCCACATTATGTAACAGGCTGCAGCTCATTTCTCCTTCACCTCCTTCAGTCGGTCAGCTAAGCAGCATCTACACATACACTGTAGTATTCTGGGATTTGACTCCCCCCTCTACACCTCCCCCTCTCACCCCTCTACCCTACCCCCCCACACCCCCGCACCCCGTCGCTCTGGCTGTCGTTCAGGAGACACAACATGTCTATAATGCGTACATTTTCTGTACTTCATTATGTTTATCTGTTCCTAACGTTTGAGTTTGATGAATTATGTTTGATTGGTTTAGTTTTGAGTCAATTTGACAAGAAAAAAAAAGAGACAATGAACCTCCATGTGTTCATTCATAACAGTGTCAGAAAAATGTTTTATATTCCATAATACTATCTAAGAGATAAATGTGACAGTTTGCTCCCCGTCTGTCTTGACGCCTGTGTCATTGTTTCACACTGAAACCTCGGCTCTCGTCATCACCATGTGTTCACAGCTCTTTAATGCCCATTACTGCTGATTCACTTTGTTTGGCCTGCAGGCAGACAGTGACTGTGGGAACCAGTGACAGCTGCTTACAGTGGCCCCATGACGGCTGCCGATCGAGAGCATGTCGGGCTGTCGGGCCTTTAGTTTCCCTGAAAATTAGGAACAGATGTGCACAGATTATCTTTGGGTGCCGATCAAGAATCCTGAATTCAGTTTTGTTGGCATCGAGAATAATTTACAACGTGAATCATATTCTGGATTTGGCCTCATTTTTTATATTATTTGGCTAAGCCTCAGGTTTGTCAATGTCAGTGCTGTGTGTGTGTGTGTGTGTGTGTATAATATCGTGCTCATTAATAATAATCATACTAAAAATACTAAAACAAATATACCTGTATATGTCATACTAAAAATACTAAAACAAATATATATCCAAATATATATGATATATAATAATATATGTGGGTTGTTTTTTTTTCTGCAGGCAAATCTAGACTGAGGAAGAAAAACTCCAGTTCTTCTCTTCTCACATGGCCGACACAGAGGACCCGCTTTAACACACACTCGCACTCGCACCATCCGTGAGCGGACTGGGTGGAGACGGTCGACCCCGATGAGTTCACCACACACTTCAGGTGAGTCTGTCGGCCCGTTTGCTTCCGTTCCGCTGTTGCTGGTTGTCAGACTGGTGTCCTGATTGTCTCCACTGATTGGCTGGGACTGGAAACTGAAACTAGAGAATCATAAAACTGACTTTTTGTCCGGTGGTAGAAAAATCTATGGGATGTAAAGGCTGGGGAAGTCTGTCTTAGATCTGCACTCTAAATATGAAGATGGTGGTGCAGTCGAAAGGACAAGGACGTCCACGCATCCATCCACACATCCATCCATCCTCATTTGTTTACTCTGCACGTCTGTCTTCCTGGTCGTTTGTACGACGTCCAACCCAGACTTTCACACCTTTTCTCCTCATTTGGTCGAAGTACCTCGGTGTAGTACTTGTACCAACTGTATGTCCCTGAAATCCTCGGCTTCTGTCTGTTGTGTAGGTGTTCTGTCGAGCGTTAGCATGTGTGGATGTGTTTGGCTGCAGCGCCTGGAGTTTTTTGCAGCTCCGCAGCTGACGTAACACTGCCCCCGTGTGGTTCGCAGATGAAAATAGGAGATTATAAATGTTGCATATTATTTAATGTAACATCACGGTTGGATGTTTGTGGTATTTATTCAAACATCTACCGTGGACTGTGTCTATAAAAACTTTTTGTAGTGAATTGACCTGAATATTGAGCTCATTTAAATAAAACACACACGTGTGTATTTCAGTTATTGGATGAACTGTGGACTGATGTTTTTGGTCACTGCCTGTAAAGAAGGTTGCAGTAGGTTTTCAGCCAGTACCTGACAGTTACAAATACTTCATCACAGTACTGTGTGACATGTTGTTATTCATCAAACAACATGTTTAATCTGATATATTATTCAGTCAGATTTAGTCAAGGAAATCTGACGAGACTCCTTCAACCTGAGCTTCAGACCTGATGGACGTAAATGTTTGTTTGACAACTTTGTCTGTATGACTGACTGACTGACTCGGTTGCCATGGACACATGATACAACACACAGATATAGTGCGTGACAAACACACACACACACACAGACGCAGACAGCACTGTGACTCCAGGGTTTGATGCGCCTTAAATAGAAACGCAGAGATGAGTCATCCACTGAGCTGCTGCAGTACACACACACACACACACACACAAACCTACACACCTAGTGTTTGGCAGGTGTGATTGTGTGTGGGGGCACTGAGATGTCAAACATGTGGCCTGTCCAGTTCTATGTATTTACACTGAAACGTGTGTGTCTGTTGGTGTCAGTGAGTCACTGAATCAGGACACGCAGCACTGACGACGATGATGATGATGAAGATTACAAAGAGAGGAAAATGATAGGTAAAATTAACTATCAATATATTATTTATTCTCATCATTTTGCATGAAACCAGACTCCTGTCAGGATCATCAAATATAGAGGTGAAATAATGATGCACAATCAGAAAAGCAACTAATATACAGCACAGGAGTCACAAGAAAGGGTATAAATATATATCATAAATACACGTACATACACACTGGTGGATTCTAATTAAAGGTTCACAGCATTTCCATAAGTAAACACTGCATAATATCAAAATATTTTACAGAAAAATTAGTTGAATCAGTTTTCCTGCGGGGGGCGCTGTTGCTTCACTCTTGTCGTTGATCCATAGTTGAAGAAGTGCAGACAGATGTTTCATAAATATTCTTGCCTTTCCCAGATATCAGTAAAAACAACCGAATGTGATCACGGCAGTAATGACCAATGATGACGATGATCTGAACCCGGCAGCCAATCAGATTACCTCTGGTTTTGCAGCTCAGTGGATCTAAACCATGGAATCAAATAAATGATAGGCCTGAAATGCTAATGTGAGCGTCGGACTGCTGAGTGGGAGTCGTTCACAGACGACTGTCAAGGTTGAGCTGCACTCGCTGCCAGTGTGCTGAGCCCGCCCACCTTTGTTTTGACTGACAGCTCCTCTCCAGGATGTGCAGCACAGGAACACAGCAGCACAAAGCCTCCTGCTGCCAGTCGCTCCCCACCTCCCGCTCGCTCTACCCTCTTCCTCCTTCACCTCCTCCTCCTCCTCCTCACCCCAAAGCTGTGAGCTTACAGCCCTCTCTCTCTCTCTCTCTCTCCCTCTGTCTATTTTTATCTGTAGCTCCTCCTCTCTGCCAGGCTATTTTCAGCTATATTCCCTCTATCAACCCCCCATCTTGTGTGTTAGTAAACGCTTCTCTCCTCTCAGTTAATCAACCAATGTCAGCGCAGAAACACAGAGAAACAAAAATAACCCATAAAGGTCCAATGTAGGTGAATGGAGGGATGGGCTCTCTCTCTCTCTCTCTCTCCCCCCCCCCCCTCTCTCTCTCTCTCTCTCTGTGCTGCTGCCTTTTTCTTCATCCTTCTAACTTCCTTGCCACCCAGTGGTCTACTTTCAGCCTCTCTCTCTCTCTCTCTCTCTCTCCCCCCTCTCGCTCACTTGCCCACTCACCCTCCTCACTCTGTCTCCCCTCCCTCCCTGGTTCTCTCTCCATTCATTCAGCAGTCTAAAGAGCGTCACACACACACACACACACACACACACACTCACACACACACCCACCCACCAGTGACTCTGAGTGTTGGCCGTCTGAGCAGCAGCTTCTCCCTCCAGCTCCTCTCTGCTCCTCATGTACTGATAGGAGAACAACATGTGACCTCCGACTATTTTTACATTTTTACGACGAGGATTTTAAAGTGTCTTCTCAGTTGGACCTTCTTCTGTTCTGATTTTTTTTTTTTTTGTTGTTGTCACCCCTCTCTGCCTCTCCCTGTACTTCCTCCCGTTTCCCTCTCTCTGTCATTCTCTTAACTCCTTGTTCTAATTTTGGAAGCATGGAACCTCGGGGAGCGCTCTCTCAGTGCTATTCACGTCCTTGCCTCTCCTCCTCCTCTTATTTTTCCTCCTCCCCCTCCTCCCCCTTCGCCTCCTCCTCCTTGTCCGTCTCCGTCTCTCCTCTCCCTCTCATCAGCTAAGAGGAGAACAGCATGAGGATCCTTTGATGCTCCAGAGCAGGGGAATTCGGCTTCTCCCTGTCTCTGTGTTCTGTTGTGTCGTTAGCGGTGGGAAGAGAAGACGAGACCGCAGCAGCTCTGCTCTCAAACTGACACTTTCTGCTTCATGGAAACAGATTTTTTTTTTTAAACCAAAACAATTAGATTGATGTTTTGTTTTTTTTTAATTCCTAGTTTTTCCTTCGGAGTTGTCGGTCTGAAAGATTCAACACAAACAAACTTTTTTTTTTTTTTTCCTCTCTCTTATCTCGACAACCTCGGTGCATCCAAATCAAAGCCCGACTCTCACTGTGACCCTCAGGAGCATGGACTTCAGGAGACTTCAAGGAATCGAACTCCAGCCGACTTCTCAGCTGTAAAGCCTCCTTTCGTTCCTCAGACTCCACTGTACCGTGCTGCCGCCTTCAATGAGAGGATTTTATCTCCAGTCTCAGAGACTGGTCGTCACCGCATCTTTCTGTGCAGCTACAACCTGAATAATCTCTTCTGCTCAGGCAGCCGTTCGGCCGGATTACACCGTAAAAGCACACGGCACTTCTTTCTAATGTCCGTCTGACATTTTTGTCATTTTTTAAAATCTTTTTTTTTTATTTGCCGGGCAACTCATTTTTGAAAGCACACTTCTTTGTATGTCAGTCTTTGACAACTTTGACTCTGGCGTCATGGCAGCGTCTCGTAGGAGAAAGTGACTTTAAAAAAAAAAAAAAAAGGAAAGAATAATAATAATAAAAATAAATTAGTTTAGAACCAGAGAGTGACTTCTTTCCTTGGCATGCTGCTGCGTCCCACTGTGTCAGGATTGTGCGCCATGTTACAGACCATCTATGAGACCGAGTCCTGTTTTTCCTCCGCCAGCACAGACAACCACCACCACCAGCCTCTGGAGCTCCTGAGTGGCAACAGGGGCTCCAGCGCTGCCATGCCCACCGCCGGTGAGTCATATCTGGGAAATAGGTGTGTGTTTCTTAGAGGGAGGGAGGAAGGGGGGGAGGAAGGGTGAGGGGGCTGTGGAGGTAGAGCTGTTACCGTACAAAGTGTTGGAGGAATGTGTGTGTTTGACTGACTTAAAGGGATGTTGTCTTGTTGTTGTTGTTGTTGTGTTTCTCACCGGCAGCTGCAGCAGAGGCTGTGACACACAAAGCTAACGTTGGGACTTGAAACCGTTTCGAGTTTTTTCCGACCATGACGCCGGTTTTCCAGTATTTCTTATTTACATTTACATTAAAATCCTCCTTAAAAATCACTTCTCCTCAGGTGTTTCCAGTCAGTCCACAGAACAACACCCGCTGCTTGTTGTAGTTTCTCAGTATTATTGTATCATGGTGCACGTTTCAGTAACGTGTGTTTGTCCCTGAACAATAATATCTCTGTGAGTTGAATACCAAATGATTGGTCGCAGAAGTAAACAAACAAAAAAATAAGTTGCTTTTTCCTTTAAATTTAAAAGCCACAAACAAAACAAATCACAATCAAAGTATAAACACTACAAAAATACAGTGAAGTATGTGAAACAGAATGAAAAACACATTTTTTACTTGTTGATGTAGTAAACTAGACTTCATTCATATACAGTCGTCAATGAGCTGAACATTAAAGAAACAAACAGTCAATTAAAATGAACACACAGAGACCCCCCCTCCACACCCTCCCCCCCGGTCCTCACTGGAACACATGGCCACTAAATGGTATTAATGTCTGCTGCCAGCGTCAGCTGAGGTGAGCTGGGGTTAAAGTGTGGCTCGCTGCCACCTTCTGGTTCCAGGAGGTTGTTAGTTGGTTCAAGCAGGATTCACACCGACGCTAATCTGTTTCTCCCAATTTGCACTCGCGGGTCGGTGGCCAACCCAGGTCAGTGTGTATGTGTGGTCATTGGTGCACGTGTGTTTGACCCTAAAAGTCTCAGGTAAAAAACAAACCAAACTTCTGAGTCAGTAATAATCCTGATTGGCTTAAAGAGTGTGCATGGATGTCCAGGGCTGCATCTGATTGGCCAGATGTGAAAGCATGTAAACAAAACGTATCACATTTCAGACCAGGTTTATTGACGTGTTTTTTGCACACGTTCACTTCACGATGGTGATGAAAATACGACCAATCGTTGAGGCCCAGTTATTCACCTGCGGGTTGACGTAACAGTCAGTGGACGAATGATCAGATGATCAACTACTGTGATCGATCAATAAAACACCAAACAGAACAGAACAACAGAAATAATATCGTAGAGAATCAGTCGACCCTCGTTAGTGGATTTAATTTGTGTCAAATACCATTGAAATACCACAGCAAGGTTATAACACCCCCCCCCCACATCCTCACCCCCTCACCCTCTCTCTCTCTCTCTCTAAGCTTCTAATTTGTGTAAAGTACACAGCCATTAAACTATTTTTAAATCCCCTCAC